AGAGCTCTCGATGCTCTTGTAGGAAATCGATTATGACAAGGCGAGTCCGAGAGCGGGAGATTACTTCCAACATCCAGTCCTCAGGGATGTTCACAGAGATGACGATGGAAGCTTCGCAGCCTCGAAAGTCCTTTGGATGGATGAATTGAATTTTACGTTCTGTGCTAGATCGTGGGAAATTTCTTAAACATGCTAGCAGATTTTCATCAGCTGCAAGGACATAGATCTCATCACTGTCTTTCTTCACCTCTTCCATGGCGATGGAATAGACAAATATGGATTGAGCAGAGGGAGTAGTGTGCATTTCCTTAGCAAGGGGGCCACACATAGGATTTCCTTTGCATGTGTATCCCACATGTCGCCCTGGGCACTTGTAATTTATGTCATTTATGAGTAGCACTGGCTCACCGAAAATGATGGCGGCGGGCAGTGACGATGTGGGGAGACTCTTCGCTTGCAACTCTAAGGGAGTGCCAGCCTCGTTTCGATAGATGTGCCTTAAGAGTTTCATGTCTGTTGGAGGGGATGGGAGGACAACAGCAATTGTATTTGCATTGGATTTCAAGAGTCTCATTATCACCTCGATCGGGATTCCCGAATCATCGCGCGAATGTGACTTGAAAACGAGGACCAGCTTAATTTTAAGTTTTTTAAACTGGTCCACAACCTTGTTGATCTGCTCTTCCATATCCTTCAATATCGGGCAGTCTTCGATGACGACAAGCATTGAACCAACCACCTTGCCCTTCCTTTTTGCAGCTACTACCAATTCGTTGATGTTCAATATATCCTGCAGAGACTCAATATTGTTGGAAGGGACAGGTTTAATGGCGACATTTTTTTCAGTTCTCCAGCGTTGCTTATATAGTTCTTGAGACAACACGCTTCCACAATGGAGAATGAGGACTCGAACCCGAAGCTGTAATTCTCTTTGAATGAACATGTCAACTCTCCGAGACTTTCCGGAACCTGGATACCCAAATACTCCTATTATCCAAGATCCAAGCAAGTTCTTTACCTCTTCCATTTCATCACCTGCATCCCATTTAACATCCATTTTAGGGCAGCTTCCAGAAGGGAACGACTTTTCATTAATATGATGAATCACATTACTTTTATACTCTTCCCATGCCGTTTCCAGCTTTTGAATGAGACCTTGTTCACTGAAGTTGACCTCTTTTATATCCCATCCAGGAATTTCTTTTACAAGACGAGAGAACTTGCCTGTCTTCCAGTCTTCTTCCTCTATAATGAGGATTTTCTTGTCATCAGTGGTTGTTATCAATCGGCAGAAATTCTTCCATATGGAATTGGGGAAATCTAATATTACTTTGACGTTATTCACATGGCACCCTAGCATTTCTTCATCAGTTACCACAAGGGAGAAGGAACCCTCCGGCGGGAGCTTTCCTAAGAATTTCCCTTTCTCACCAAAGAACGAAACAGGTGAGTGGTCGATAAAAGTGAGTATATTGACCATGGCTGCCTTCATTCTGTCACTATCAACCACGACAAGGAGTGGAGCTTTCCTCGATGATGTCGAGAATTCCTTATGGATGTACTTAATGGCATGAGAAGCTCTAACAGCCCGACAGATCAGTTCATCCTTGCACTTGCTTGGGTGAAGAGAGAAACAAGATGGAACTGGGAAGAGGACTGGGAGGAATTTAATCTCCGACTCTTCTACATCCATTGGAAGTGTCCTTTCTCGGGATATGAAGATCCGGCGTGCATAATCCGCGATAGCCAGAAACAAGTCTGCAATTTTTCTGCTATTCCTCTTTACTCTATCAAGAACTTTAATAGAAAGACCTCCAGGCTTGATATCCTGCAAAGGAACGTCCCTGGAGTAAGACTGGTCATTAGGTCGGAAGACGAGAGTGATGGTTTTAATGTAATCCTTCATTTTCACAATAAATCCCCAATGGTCAGAAATTGCATCTGGGGTGAGGTTTTCCTGTACTCCCTGGAATCCTAAAGTAAGAGGGACTTCATCAACCAGAACATGTTTTCCTTTTCCCTTCTTGATTAGCAGTTCTTTCAACTTTTCCAAGTTCTCTTCTATGTCCTCCTCTCTCCCATCGACAACCTCGATTCTCGGGTTATCTGTTCGAACAGAGATGCGCATTTTCAACTTCTAACCAACACGCATGACCCTCGCAAAAGAAAATCTCTGTGAAGTGTACATGGATCAGTTAATGGATGCACGAAGCTAATGGATGCACGAAGATATCCGGTAGTCTAACATGGGAATGAAAGCCGATATCTAAAGAATACCTTCGAAAACAGTTGATGGGAAGGCACAATATCATTTCCACTTGTCTTACTTACCTTGTATATCTAGACTACCTCCGAAATTTGTAATATTTCTTCTGTCGATCTAAGTTATCGATCACTCAAAGTTAACTGTATGTACATAGCACAGATGAGGCTAGAAAATATACTTACTCCATGCCTTTGGGCTTAATCAGATTTCAGGAGAGAATCGGAAGTTTAAGAAGAAGAAGTTTAAATCTTCTCATGCCATGATACACAAATAAAGAACCCGCTGGGCATTGTATCCCTTTTTGAAACTGAATATAGTAATATTTGCCTTACTTATTTCTAGACACAAGCCCATGCAATGTGATATGCAATTTAATCGAGCATGGTGCGCATGTCTTACAGCGTTCCAGAACATGCATTTCTGATCTGGCCCTCTTAATTACCTTCACTGCCAATTTTTACGATTGCGAATCCAAGCATTCAAAATTCCTAAGGAGAAAGCATCCACCACTAGACCAGTGTGAGCACGACTCCTGGTTTTGACCCACCGTTGAAGTCGTTTCGGAATTCTTCGGTCAGCAGTCCCCCGGAGACGTTTATGACCATGACATCATTTTTCTTCCCCAATTCCATGGCTCTTCTCTTGAGGACAAATGTTTTACCTGTTCCACTTCCTCCACAAATGAACATCACCTTATCATCACTCATCACTAATTCTTTCTGCTGAGGAGTTAGAAGAACCAGTACTGGCTCCATTTGCTTTTCACACGTGGTGAATAACTGACAAGAGTTACGTGGGAGGTCCACAGCTGATGCAGCAGAAACATACAAGTCGAATATGTCCTTGAACGTTTTCATAATAGGAGAATTGGGATCCAAGATCGAAGGACTTTCTAGGACAATCCCATGTCTTGCCAAAAATTCTTTGAACCTCATGGGACTTCCAAGATCGTCTAATGTTAATATTCGTTCCCTGCAATCCGTGCATTTCANGATTCTCCTGAGCCTTTCTCATTAATTTCCTGTGTTCCTTTTCTTTCAAAATGTATCCCTCAGGGAGGGAGTATGCCTTCTTATAGGCTTCAGGGTAAATCTGTCCCACATAGTCACCTGCGGCTTCGTTAAGGGGCCTCGTGTCTCCTGCTCCCATGTATATTTTCAGATGATCACGAATGTCCAGGTTTCCTTTCCTTTCATAAATTGCAAGCTTTCCCAATAATGACCACTTCTCACAGTTCTCGCATCCTGCTTCAGTCATCTATAATATTTAAAAAAGAACCTTTTCATATGAGGAATACTGATTTATTTCCGTGCATTGTACTTATTGCAAGTGCTCCTTTTCAAAAGCAACATGTGGGTCAAATAGTGAGGTTAACATTACGTACATGGAGATTACACCTTGTTGAGGCTATTCCTTGCGCCTCGAAGCTAATGTTAACAACTAAATCGCCTGTATCTCAAAAAAAGGCTATGTAAGATGTGACCTATAACAGAGTTTAACCACTCGGAGAGCTTTGCACCATCATTTATGAGTGGTATGGCCTAGAAATTATTTAGAGCAATTAAAAGCACCAAATCTGTTTGTCCTGGGTCATCATTGGCAGAGGATGTCACACATTAATGGAATTAGTCGCTTGTGTGATGAATATTAGAAAGTCAACTATTTTCCACAATGACAACGTCCAATCGGAAGACAACATGACTGACGATTGACAGCAGAATTGGGGGTGTACAAGCAACGACATCGTGGCATATTGAATCTTTCACATTTGTAACCGATGAGAAATGGCTCATTTAGAGTCATGTTTTTCATGAATGTATTTTCAATAATAGATCCTTTCCATCATCGTGGCGTCACATTTGCAAGGAATAGACCATAACATGTGTATGAGTTCTCGTCAGCTAAAGCACATTCCCAAGTGCAGTCTCCAAGTAGTTACTGAATCTTATCTCTTTAAGGGGTTTCGATTTCTGAGAAATTGATTCAACTCACTTCTAGTGACCCTAACTACGGATGTGCATATATGCTACCCATTGAACTCAAGACTGAACCTGAGGTGGTGTTCCTTGACTGAGCAGTGAGTTATCCGTATCCCTTTCCGTATGTCCAAGGAGAGTAGAAATTCGCATTTGTCTTAACCATGGGCGCGTTAATTCTCGATTCTATTCACACTTATGTATTTTCCTGGGGCTGTATTTGGGTCTTAAAATACGTATTTGTGTAATCCTCCTACCGCTGATTGGAAAGCTTCTGAAACTGAGTGTTCAATGAAACCTCTGAAAGGGATATAATAACAGTGTTTCATAATGAGGTAGATACCATAAAGTTAATGAAGAACGTGAACGGTCACCACCTTAATGCTCATTGCCGTCACCAGATCAACGCATTTGACAAGTCTTCCAGCATCATCTAATCCAGTCTCATCAAATTAGAGCATGATAAGAAGCTGCTTAATGCATTGCAGTCTAGGTGTGTGGGCTGAAAGGAGCTCAACCACACTTACACGAAATACACTTATTAAAAAAAACTAGCGGAACGTGACTCATGCCAGGTCTTGCTAAAAAGTATGCATTATTTTCCAGAGTTGATCATATGAACTTAATTTGACAGGCTTATGACTTCTAGTTATACGCTTTTGTAGAACAGGGAATTATGAGTAATATGGCTTTTTTTTTCAAATTTGAAGGCAATCATTGAATTTCCTTTTGCTAAGGTGATACAAAACGTGAAGGATAATAGACAAAAAACTAGAAAGAGACAATAATAAACTGGAAATTTAACATGTTTCATGAAAATTGGAGTTCATCTGTATCCATGAAGAAATTGTGAATTTTCTAAAATAACTCGTCCCCGATGGTAAGAGCCTTTATAAATGCCCAGGTCCTAAAGTACATATTAGTGAAATATTTTGGCGACGGATTTATTCTTCGAGTAATACTTTCCTTAGTAGCAAGCAAATAAGGAACTCATGAAGTTGCACAATGCAATTTTATGAGTTTCTTATTTGCAATCCCTACAATAGTGATTGCTTGCCCTCATAAAAGTAATCTCTAACGAGGAGAAACTGGATTTAACCGATGTGTTTTGCTCAGAGATGAGTAACCACGTTTCATTTCCAGCGCAGGAGTCCTTCAATGTCCAACATATTGAGATGGGGGTACATATTGTTCAGTGATCTTTCATTTTAAACGTACTAGGACAAGGCTTGGGAAATGAACGCTCAACCTGGTTGTATTGAGATGCTGCCCTCTTATCAGTGTCGCTATTCAACGAACTACTCTGCTTCCATGATAAATAGGATTATCCGTTGTTGGACTACTTGAACTTGTCAGGAAAGCTTGTAATCGTCCCTGTACTCCATGGATTCTCCCGATGGTGAAACAATTACATGTATGAACGGTGCAGAGCTCATGGAGTTGTCTATGATTGCTTCGTTGACTTGTAGCGGAAAATATGTTTATTTTAGCAGTTCAGGACAATTTCTGATATCAGACTGCCTTATTGTTATAATAATGTCAGTCAGAAAGCATTCGTCAATTTTTAAAAGAGTTTATTCTTTTCGATTCCCTTTCATAGGATAATGAAGTAGAACTAAGGATCAAACGGATCTGCAAGCTCAAACCATTTACCGTAGCTGCGAGACATTTTGTTTTCAGTATGGCTTTGTGGAAATAGTCTAAAATGTCATAAAGGAAAAGAGTCGTGAGATAAAATGCCATGGCGACTCTTACCTCTTGGATATTGTATATTTCTGGAGATGGTGGTTGATGTGAGGTCTGAGTAGAGAATCCATTAATCGCAGGTGTATATAGAAGGTGGTTCTCTTTCTCGTCTCCATCAAACTTAAAGAACCGAAGTCCTGCTGGATGGGAAAGATCATTCATTCCTGATAAGACTTGCTATAGTACTCGTTCCAGTATTCCATGAAGCTTGATTCGTCATATTCAATTTCCATGGTTTCCATCAGCTCAGACATCGAGATGACGTGGTTGATCTGCATCTTCACGTCTGGCTTGGTAACAAAGAAGCACAAGACTTCGAAGGAAGACCACGTCATAAGAATGTAAACTGTTGTTATGTCCTTGTCTCTGTCTGTCTCGCTGAATAGCATCGACGTCTATCTCGAGGAAAGCAGCATGCTTGCAATCGTTAGATAAGATAGACCTCCCATGATGGCCGACACACCTTGATTTTGTCCTGTATGGACAAATTCAAGGTCTCTAGTCTGATTTCGTCAGATTTTTTGAAGCTGGAATTCACATCAAGATCAGTTTGGGGGGCAGGCGGATTTGCAAAAAGGATGGATTGGCATTTCAAAATGGCATTGATGTCAAAATGATAGGAATTTATGAAACAAATAATTACAAATGTTCCCTTGTCTGAAGGAACCAGAGCATGTGACTTTCTTGGATTATGAACCTCCATTCCTACACGTCATGCAGCCCTAGCTTGCTACCAATCACTCTCTTCCCTTTTCCTGAATTTAGAGGGAGTTTGCATGTTGAAATATCCTCAACCGAATGGTTACTAACTACAGGGTACCTCAAAAGTTGCTTGCACATTTTTTTAATAAAAAAAAGAAATAATTTAGAGAGTGACGATGGTTACTGGGACAAATGCATTACAAATGGCGTTATTGTGTGCTGTAATGATCATACGTCGTCAGGCAACTGTTAGCCATGAGCCAGTGTAACGCAAGATGACACAAGTTCGCTTGACCGTGGAGTGAAATCTAGATTACGTAAAATACACGTACACTTTGGTGACGTAAATAGAAGAACGTAATTTGTACGTAAACCTGATGTCTTTTTCATGGCAATCGCAAGAAATTGACAATGTTTGCAAAATAGTTGATATATTGCTAACGTAAACATGCTGCTTGGGGAGTTGGGCATTAAAGTTGTTTTCCTGAAGTATATCTGTGATATCTCTTTGGCAATGACTTGAACCGACGGTTCGCACAGAAGGCAGATGACGCTGAAGTTGTCCCTGTAGCTGGTCAATTTCTCTTTCAGCTGCAATTAGCTCCAAATACTGTACCTTCAACGCAGTAGCCCATCTTATCCCAACATACACCAGAGGGGTTTATATGTGATTTGTTCTTATTCTCACGGAACATTTTTTTTCACATTCGTTTCATGGGACCTCCATACGTGGAAAGACAAGTCCACCAGCCGAACTTTCATGTTCTATGGGTTTGATGACCCATATCGACCATAGCTGGGTGCTTTGATTTCGTAAGGGGCGCACCGGCATCGAACCCAAACCTGGGGCTTTTCCGACCAGTCTCATTAAGGAACGAGGCAATCAAAGGAAATGTCGAAAGCATTGTGCGAAAGCAAGACCGGGTTTGTGAAAAATTTGTGGTACTTGAAAATTCAACTTCCGAAGACCATTGTCCGCTGGATTCTAATCGATGGTTCACAAAGGGAATGGAAAAGGGACGGCTCTTTAAAACATAGCTCAAGGGGAAACATTATAACAGTATGACCCAGTCGAAAAACACTATCCAGACATTCATATAGGAGGGCATTCGAAAGGGACCGTTCGATGGGGTAAACTAGAATGATGTTTGGCAGTCCTTCATTGACAAATATGCTGAGCACTAAATCAGGTACGGGGCATATGATTTATATGTGCCCCTAAGTGAAGATTTTAAACATTTTTGAATGCGCAGAGATATGTTTGAGACAACATGTGAACGTATTTTAGGACTTACAGTTGTACCTCATTACGAGCAAAATATGTACTTCACTGTTCGTTTCTGCTTTTACTCTGCTGAACACTTATACGTCTCATGCCATTGTCTCACAAAATTCTTTTTTGCATATTTTACTAGCAGAGCAGGACTTCTTAA